ACTAATCAAAAATATATGAGGCATATTTTTTTTACATTTGCATAAAAAACTTTTCATATAACTCGCTACTCATTTCTAAAATATTAATTTTGAAAGTGTTCAATATTACTGTTTTTTCAGCAAAATGTTAAAGTTCATTTATCGTACATACTTCAAATTTGCTATGTTAAAAAAAATGTTAAATTTTAATAAGAAAACAAAGTATCTCTTCCAAAATGTTAGAATCATTCATCAAATTTCGGATTTTTTCTTAAAATTTCATAATATATATTTTCTTCTGAAGTCCGAAATGGTCAAGAATGTCACTGGAGTATAATTTTTTGTCAAAAAAAATACTTTTGAGTTGACATAAAGTAATCTGGAATGCCCATTCAAAAAATTTTGCTATTTTATAAAAATAAAATTGGATTATTTTCTTAAATATTACATTAAAAAGTTGATAGTCTTATAATTATCCCACAATTAATCAACTTAATTCAATAATATTTTATTTACTTCTTTAATTACATTTGAAATTCATATATTTATCATTTTTAACTTATTAATTTACTTCATAGTAACTACAATATCAAATATTACATTCGTAACAATCATAATATTTATCTATAATTATTTATCATCTTTTATAAGTTAAAACAAAAAAAAAATACCCGATCATAATTATATTTTTAATTTCCCATATTATAATATATATTTACTCATTAAATTAAATGTTCTTAACAAGTACTATTTCTTTTCAAACATACACCATGAGCTTAAAAATGAAAAATTAGATGAGATGCTACATAAAACATTTCACAAAAATGAGGATATAATAAACATTTCATAAAACCAAGTTGCTATTTTTTTGCATTCAATCCTAAAGCCTATTACATTAAAAATCATCCAGCTTTCGATGTTCTTTCTACCCGTGGAAGTACAACCGAGGTAAGGTCAGCAGGGTAAGTTGACCACAACCCTAATCCACCTCGGCTTTCTTTCAACCCACTATTGTTTCCTTTAAACTCATTTAATGATTTCACCCACTCGATTTTTGAGGAATGTTCACGTGTGTGAGGGTGCAGGATAAAAATGGAGTTATACTCACAATTAGGAAACATAAAGAACTTGAAATTGTTTTTTAGTCTGTAGACAACAAACCCAAAGCTTAATTGATCTCTTGGTGTGAATAGATTCACCTCATTGAACCACAAGCAATTAAATAAGTTGTTTAGTGGGGTGTGTTCGCGGATGATTATAGCTCCTTCTGGCACATCTAGTTCACAACCAAAAAAAAAATCATTAATAGCAATGTACTTTTTATTTATTTGTATAATTGTACTTTCTTTTTTTTTTTCTCAAAAAAATAATTACCACTTTTGGTTTGTTTTAGTGGGGTCCACGGGTCCAATCCTTCATAACGATATATTTTCATTTGGTGATCAATAAGAGGCCTAGCATATCGTTTCCTTCTCTTATTGGAATCCGCCTCTTCGTATATATTTCTATGATGCTTGTGTTGAGCTATTGCAAATGTATGCTTCCCACGCCATAAATATCTTTTTAAAAAAAAACAATTTCGGTTTACTAAAATTAAGAGTAAATTAAAAAATTGGTCCCTGTGGTATCCCAAAAAATACGGTTTGAGTCCATTTTGTTTTTTCATTCGCACGGTCACTCCAAAATTGAAACTTCCATGCAGATTTGGTCACTCGAGTTAACTATCGTCTAAACAAAAAGGACTCAAACTGTACTTTTTGGGATACTACAGCGACCAGATCTACATGGAAGTTTCAATTTTGGAGTGACCGTGCGAATGAAAAACAAAATGGACTCAAACTGTACTTTTTGGGATACCATAGGGACCAAATTTGCAAAAATTTCGATTTGCAAAACTCACCTTTCCAACATGAGCAAAGGATCAACAATGAGTTCCATTTTTCCATCGATCCAAATGCTATATAAAGCTTGTGGAAAGAGTCTATGAGTTAATATTTTAGGAACTTTTCCATTCCTTCTAGGCTCATCATAAGGTGGATTTTTAAGCAAAATAATACGCCAAATCCCCACCCATTCTCCTCCATCATTATCTTCTTTAACACTAACATTTTGCTTTATGAATTTAAGAGACACCTCATCCACCACCATTAGAAAGCAAAAAAGCTTCTTGGATCTTGGGCTTATGTTTGATGGTTGATGAGGTGTGTCATATCCATCAAAGATTCCAGATGCAACCACAAATTTACATTTTTTAACGTATTGTTTGTCTTTAAGAGACATTTCTGCACCACCATTTTGTATAAACCCACAATGTACCTAACATGGGAAGAAGACCAAATTACCCCTCCTTAAGATTAACAAGAAAAGGTTTCAAAAAGACCTCAATAATATAACCTTCATTTACCTTCATGCTTGATTTCAGCTTAAAGCTTTCTTCTCTTTGTTTCCAGCTTTGATGACCTCCAAATAGTGGAGAAGATTCTGATCCATTTGTATTTATATCATCTTCCTCAAAGTAGGATAAACTTTGAACAAATTTTGAAGGTGATTTTTTCTCTGGAATAACTACTTTTTCTGGATCATTAGCTAGGGGAATAGAACAACCTAAGACATATTACAAAACTACATTAAACTCTCTCTGAAAATAAACAATTTTCAGAAAAAATAATATTCAACAGCCTTACGATGTGGTGGTGTTACTAGCCCCATTGTGTGTAGCATTTGAAAAACTGTGCTTTCTTTGTTGCAGATTGCTGCAGAGTAGTAAAAAAAAGTTTGTTATATCAGTTAGGGTTATGATTTCCAATATGAAATATGAAATGAAAATCAAGAAAAGAATAGCATTGTGTACATCTCAAGTACCTGAAAGGAAAACCAGAGAAGATTGACAAGTCCATATATGAAATAATAGTACAGCTAGAATGAGAAGCATCCATAGAATGCCACCTACTAAAAGTAAACGAACAAATCCCCTTTTCCAGATGATTTTGATTGAGTAATCTGAGGATGATTTGTCTGAATCAAAGAAACCATCACCTCCATCTGCACTAATCAAAAGTTCAAAACACCATCATTGTTCATATCAATGTCCTTTCAACATGTGTGGGGTTTAGAAGAAGAGATATTGCAATACAATCACAATCTCAATCATGTTAATGTCATAATTATAGTAACACCAAAGGACTAATCACACTCATGACTCATCTGTAGGTGTGTATGCATGCTCTTAAAGTTATATGGAATAAGCATCAACTTAAGAAACTACTCTTAAAGCTTTTATCTTTTACTGAAATCAAGTTCCAACATCAGCTTTCTGTTAACTTAAAAGGCTAAATTCACCACAAAAGTTCAATAGAAATGCTCTTTCTGTTAGTCCTTTAGTGACAAACTTCAATTTGATATTGAATTCCAATATGTACCAAAGAGAGATTGGTGTAACTTCATTAAATTGTGAAAACAGGTGCTTCAACAAGTGTTTGTGGTAAGCAAATATACATGCCCACTTCGGTTTCTAGCTCAGTTAACTTCAGAAGGACAATGAGTACTAAAATTTGTAAGGGAAATCATAATATGACTAATCAGATAACACAAAAGAGAATTCATGTCAATCAGTTTTTACAGATTACCTTTAATCTCAAAGTTATTGTTTAAACGGTCAGGCCTACGGCTTGCCCGTAAAGATACGGAAGGGTGACCGTCGTTGTCCATGATTAGAGCTCTACAACATTCAACAGCAACGGAATCAAACGATCTGAAATTTCATTCGAGACAAGATCTACAGAGTTTCAAGGGCAAAACATTAGATATTTAAACAGGTAAGGTAAATTAAGCCGCAAAAAAACATGAATACAGTAGTGGCTTCAGTAATATACCTTACTCCTCCGAAATTTGGATGCCCGGTGTATTATCAAATGCTTCGAAGAGTTTACGGAGATGGATTTGAATATGAAATGCGGAAGTTGTTAGAATCTGAGGAAGAAAGTATCGGAATTGATAGGAGTGTTAATGGAAGCCACCGACAGTAGCCTTTCCTTGTGCGTGATTTGCTGGCCAGCCCCTCCGATATGCCTGTGTGATTTTCCGGCCAGCCCTGCGTGATTTCTGTGTGAAACCAGTCCAAAAAATTCACAAATCAGATCTCCTTTTTATGAACCTTTTATATATATTTTTTGGTTGTTTAATTTATTTTAATTTTGAGTTTATATATTTTAAGTTTATTTAGTTATATCGTTATATTTTACTTTTGATTAACCTAACTATTATGTGATGTTAATTTAAAGAAAATAATATTTTTATTTTTATGTAAAATGACCAAATGGTCCGGAATTGGGTATTTTGGACCCAAATTTGGATGGTTCCGCCCAATTAATCCGCTTCGGTATTGGGGTCCTCCAAATATATAGAATTTCAGACAATTTTTTTGGAACATAGGCATTTCGAAGTACATACTAGTTGCATTCGATTATTTCAGACATTTCGGATTCATGGTTTTTTGAAGAATATGACTTCTAATGATGAAGAATTGACAATGGTGTGGGTAAATTTTCTTTACAATAAGTTATTTTGAATATATTATCGATTAAAAACTGGTCCGTAATACAAAGATCTTTCTGGAACATGTAGATCAACATGTTTGTAATGTAGTAATTTTTGATGAACCCATTTCCTTCAAGTATGTATTATCATTTAGGGATAATGTTATAAAAAGCCTTAATTTTACAAGAAAAAGTCGGTTTTACCCTTCGGCGGGTTTTTGGTTCGTTAATGTCGCATAGTTGTCTCATTTTTTATATTTATTCCAAATAGTCGGTTGCAAGAGGGTTTACCGGTTACCCCTCCACTGTAGCAGACTTTTAACCCCGTTTACCAAACGTCCACACCCAGGTATTTGAAGAAGATCATCACCAAAACAAAATCAAATTTCCACACCAACGTTCTAATGACAACGTCGAAATCAAATTCAAGCTGTAGCAACACATCAAGAAGGAAAAATAGGGAGATAATCTGATGTAGTTGTGGTGATGTTTGCCTTATTTATATTTCACGCACTCCAGAAAACCCATGAAGAAAATGATTGCCCTAATTACCAGGTAATTGTGGTGATGTTTGCCCTAACTATGCTCTCTCTATTATCTTCCCTTCTTTATGTAATTTTATACTTCTTTTTGTAGTATGAAGATGGTGTTTGTGGTCATTTCAAAAGGGTTGATGAAGAAGAATTTAAGGCTTTTGAGAAGCAATTAAACCTCGAACATAGAGATATCGAATATGTGATGTTGCTCAAATTGATTGTAGGGCGGCTAGTGAGTATTTTGGTATGTCTTGTTGTAGTGGTTATTAAGATGTAAGTTAGATTAAATGATAACAGGTTTGTAGTGTACTTTATTCCATTGGTAGATGTACTGAACGTGTAATAGTATTGAAGTTTGAATGGTGTAATGGTATTAAAGTTTGAATGGTTATGATCTAATTTATGAATGGTTTTGTGCAAATGGAAAGTACACATTCAACATAACACAAATGCAAAGTAAGATGCATAGAATGGTAATCAAATATGCCAATAATGGTGGATGTATAAATGGTAGTCAAATTGAAAGTAAGATGCATAAAATGGTAATCAAATGTGCCAATAATAGTGAACATATTCACCATAACACAAATGGAAAGTAAGATGCATAAATGGTTATCAAAGTTGACAATAATGGTAGACATATTCAACATAACATAAATGAAAAGTAAGATTCTTAAATGGTAATAAAAATTGACAGCAATGGATAACACATTCATAATAACACAAGTAAAAGGGGATGTATTCATTGCATAAGGTCTTTTACATTTCAATAATACGTAACAGTCATCCAATTGTATCCAAAAGCCCAAATAAATTATCAGAAAAGGCAACCAAGCTTATAACATAAAACAAGTGGATGTATGTTGCATTTAGTGGGTAGAATGACAATAATATTTACCAAAAAGGGCTCCATACGCCTATGTATACCCTCCCCACTACACCCCAAAGAACTTAACCAACTACTCCAACCTAACTGGATTGCTAGCAGATGAACCACCTCCATTTTTGTCAAACATTGTCTTCTTCAACTTCTGAAAAATGATCCTTTCAGTGGGTTTTCTCAACTTTGTCACTCTAGGGATATCATCAGGACCTTCATCATCACCCCCTTCTTCTTGTTCACCTTCATCATCATCCAACTGACCATCATCACCCCCTTCTTTTTGTTTACCTTCATCGTCATCCAAGTGACCATCATCACCCCTACTTTGTGTTCATCATCATCATCAACCTCAATAACAACATCATCAACAACACCATCAACATCATCAATAACAGCATCATCATCATTATCAGATGGATGATCCAATACATCTGCCATATCCTGATATTGATAATTACATAAATAAGTTAAATTGGAGAAAAAGAATGAAAAACAGTTACAAAAAGTAATTTCTTACTAGCTCCCGGGTGACATGTCATCCAGATCCAGTTGTACCCCTCCCATACCTTCAATTTCTTCCATGTTATATCTTGCTTCCAACATCATTGCAATCTATTTAACATCCAAATTTACCTTATCTACAAGGACACCATTATCTTTTCCATCATTAAACTCAACCTTAGTTACATCTTCGTCATTACCCCCATTATCAGATTGAATAGCATCATAGGTATGTGATTGTTGTTGAAAACTACCCTCCCCTAATATTTCGTCCAGCCCGTGCTCAACCTCATCAAGCACTTTGTGTAGTTCTAAACCAACCCTTGGAAGCAAAACATATTCTTTTCTAACATCAACCACTTCAACTTCTTCAGCAATACGACCATCTTCAACAATAAAATCATTTACTCCTTCTTCAGTCCCAATACCATCACCATGATCCTCAACTTGAATATCGGCAAGCACTCTATATCAAGAACACAATCACCTTCCCCAGTTTGAATACCATTATTAACTCATTCGGTGTCAATACCATCACCAACATCTTCTTTTTTAATTGCATAAACATCTTATTTTTGAGTTGTAGTAGCCGCTTCTTTGGACCTTGATGCTTTTAAAACCTTGGAACTTGATGCTTCTTTCTTTGACTTACTTTTCTTCTTTGAAGGTTGAATGGATTGAGAAGCCCTTAATGCTTCATCATGTTCAGCTAACAATGGATCTTTCCTTGCCATGCTTCTCTTCTCTGGTGGCAAGGGAACTACTGGCTTTTTCTCATTCTTACAACCTTTTTTATTATGCCCATACTCTAAGCACTTCCCACATCTTACTGTTCTTGGTACAAATACCCTTGTTGATGAAAACCTCCCCTCTTGTTCACTAGCATGCCTCTTCCTTTTGATAGTAGGCCTACCTAGCATTCTCTTAGCCAAAAGAGGCAATGACTTAATAAACCCAGTTTGGCTCCAAAGATTACTCCTATTCACTGGTTTGATATTATAGGAGTAAGACTGAAAAAAAAATCATTTGAAAAGTACCCATCAATATGTACATTTGGTGTTTGATTGATGTAGTTGATGGATGTATTTGCATGTACAAATGGGATCCCAGACAAATCCCATAATCTGCAACTCCAAGCCCTGTTGTCCAAATCCACCATATAGCTGTCACATCATCTTCTAGTTTCAAAAACATGTCCTTGACTATGAACAACACACCATAACCTACATAAATTGGTATAGTCAGTAAGAATAACAAAAAAGAAACAACAAATGTTAAAGTTCTATGATGCATACCTCATATGTTTCCCGAAAAACTTCATTTTCCTAAGTATAGTAGGACAAACATTTGATTTCCATTTAACACTTTCCTCTGCCATGTGGGAAAACATGTCCATTATCTATATACTGGTCTCCTCAAGCATTGTGATAAGGGGTTTTTTCTAGCATCAACAATGATTGAGTTGAAACACTCAGAGATTCCATTCTCAACTGTTTCACAAGCATAGCCCCTATTAAAAAAAGCTCTACACCATGTTTTTGGTTGTTTTGACATCAAGTACTCATGTGCAGATGGGCTCAACTTCTTGATGGTTTTCATGTGCCTCATAAAGTCACTTTCAACACAACTCATTGATGCAGACCAAAACAATTTCTTGAACTCCAACGCTGTGTATGCTTTCTTGAAATTGGCATAAACATGCCTGACACATTGCATATGCTCAACATTTGGGAGTATATCTTTTACAGCTTCAACCAATCCCTACAATACTAGAACATTCAAATTAATATGCATCCTTTTAAATTGTGTTAACATTTATATAAAATGGAGTATCGAAAACAAACCTTATGTTGGTCAGATATCACCACCAATCCTCTGTCATCATAAAGGTCTAGACTATCTCCAAGAAGCTCAATAAACCAAGTCCAGTTAGGCTTGTTTTCAACATCAACAACAACCCATGTTATAAGGTATACCTGGTTATTAGCATCTCTACCAATGGCAGTTAACAACTCACCCTTCACATGTCCTTTTAGAAAGCATCCATCCAACCCAATTACTCTTCTACACCCTAATTTCCATCCATCAATTAGAGCTTTGAAACCTATGTAAATTCTGTGGAAGTAGTTCTTCCCATATGGATTGATGGTGACACTAACTTTGCATGTAGAACCTGGGGTGGACCTTAATAATTCATCAGTATAATCCCATACCCTAGCATAATGTTCAGTTAGTTTTCCTTCAATCAACTCAGTTGCCTATTTTTTCCCTACGGACTTGCCTAATAGATACTACAAATCTCAACCTTTGCTTGATATCAACAATCATCTCACTAAGTTTCATCTTAGGTGTGTTTGCAATCTCAGTAATGTAATGCCTACCTATCCATTCAGGGGAAACAAGACTTCCAAACTTGAACTTCCTACTGCAACGATGCTCTCCAACCATACTTTTAACTTGAAATGATTTTTCATTGTACATCCATCCAGTATACAATCTGAAAGGACAATCATTTATCTATGTCATCTTCCCACATCTGGAAACTAATCTTGTTCTATCACATTTTTCAAAGTAGATTGGATATCCATTTAACACCCCATAATTTTGATTACAAAACTTAAGTTGTGCAGGAGACTCAAATATGTCACCTACCTTAGGCTCCATCTTGTCCCATGGTGTGTTTGGATCATGAGTTCTATACTTATTCTTCACCACCTTTTGTTCACCTTCTTCATCACTTTGTCATTCATTAGCATGATAAACTTGTGCTCTGATTTCATCAGCCATGCTTGAATTCCGTAAGTTTTCATCACTAAGCAGAACATCGAGAAAGACGTCCCGTTTAGTTGGCATAATGACATGGCAACAAATAGGTTAGTTGGCATAATGACATGACAACAAATAGGTCATGCCATTTACACATAGTCACCAAAAGCTTGTGTCTTTTTTCGACCCTAATCCTATAGATCGTCGATAATAGCTTCATAAATTACCATTCACGATTTTAGTAAACTGGTTAGGGTATTGAAATTAGGGATGTGAATTAAAACCGGAAAACCGAACCGGAACCGGTTGAACCAAAATATGCTTATCCGGTGTGGGTCTTGGGTTTAAAATTTTGCCTTATCCGAGTTTCGGGTATGGGTCTAACGGGTCCGGATAAACCGGGTAAAAGAACCGGAAATGCTAAAGAAGAACCGAAACCAGGTAATGGGTCGGAACCGGGTGATTATCCGGGTGTTTTTTTATTTTTATAGATCGTATTTAAGTTTCGACCCCTTCAATCATATAATCGTTTTCGTTTTAACTAATATTTTTAGTTTTTTGAGTTTTTATGCCTTCCAAGTTATTTATTAAAGATTTGTCATTTATTACATAAGACTACAAACTGGTTTATCCATCAAAAACTACATTTGATAAAGCTTTACACCAAACTTTGACCATAGGCATAAGTTGAAAAAACTCGACTTGAAATTACTAAATTTGAGCCTCAAATTACACAATAAAAGCTTTACTAAATTAGAGCCTCAAATTACACAATAGAAGCTCTACTGGTTGGCACATGTTACTCACCTAAATTTGATTCTCCAAAATTCCGGTTTCTAGTACCATTTTCGGGTTTCCCCGTTATTTTCGGGTCTAATACACAAATCCGGTTCCAATTATCAATTTTCGGTTCCATACCCGCTTTACCCAGTCCGATGCCCAGAATCGAATCGGAACTGGTTCCGGTATACCGATCTGGTTTTCTCGGTTCTTATAATCCGTCAATTCCGGTTTCTAGGTTTCCGGGTCCGGGTCAACCTGTCCGGGTTTGGACCTACTTTCATTAGGACTGACAAAATTATACAACGAAAAACCAACCAACATGTTACCAACCGAACCAAGAAATTTGGTAGCCAATATATTTGGTAGCCAACATGTTCGGTTGGTAGTACCGTACCAATTGAGCAATGTTGGTACGGTAATGGTACAAAAGTATGAATATCATGGTAATACCGTACCAACCAATTCATTTATATATGTATATATATATATATATATATATATATATATATATATATATATATATATATATATATAAACGAAATCGTATATTTCAACTGTTAATTGTGTTTAGTGTTTACTGATTTAAGAACATTATACAAGTCATTTGATCGCATTAGTCAACATTTATTACCACACTAAAGCACCAAATTAGAACATTCCTTTAGCGTTACTTCAATAGAATTCTTTTGTAAAATAAAAGAACTACATAACTGCTTTCTATACTAAACATCAAAATTACCCTATGTCTTTGCTTATTTTTAAATCGTACAATAGAAAATTAAAAGAAGTTGATATATGCCATTACCAATTTATACCAATCAAACTTGTTGGTAGCCAAATATATTGGTACCAAGTATACCTGGTACAGTATCGATAACAATTTTTTATACCAATTATAGCTGGTACGGTACACGGTTTAGAGAAAAATGAATTGGTACCGTACCAATTCCATCCCTAACTTTCATCCCTAATTGAAATTTTCGTTCAATTGATTCATGTAGACCATGATTCTATTATTTCCCAAATGCATCAGAACACAACACACACAAACACATAAGAGCAACCTCTATTGATCGTCTTTACAACATTACCAACCCTTCATCATCATCACAAACCTACCTTCATCAAGCCAACGCCACCTGCAACCATCTTATATTTTTGTTTACTCTACCTACTGCTTGTTCTCTCTATTTAAACTTAAACTTGAGTAAAGAAGGAGGAAAGGGAGAGCTAATCACAGAGACCTACATATAGGAGCAACAAAAAAGCACAAAGACGAAAGGGAAGAAACATAGGGCTAATCACTGAACCACCACCACCACTCTTTTTGCTTGTACCTTGTGCTTTGATGTTGATACTGTGAGTTTTGATCGCTAGCATCGCATAATACATCATTGAGTCACGAAATCCTTTTCCACTCGTTTTGCTTTTACAACCTTAACGTAGAGAAATGACATCCGATCAACGAGATCGAAGGCAGACTAGCGCATCAGAATCCTTTTCCACTCGTTTTGGTTTAGGCCACTGAGCTACAACGACATTCTCCACAGAAGGAGGTGGCGTCGGTGGCGTTGCAGCTGTCGTTGCATCGGTGGATGGAGTAGTCAGAGCCATTTTTCTTCTGTTGCAGCTGACGGAGGTTCATCTACATAAGAAATCTTAAGCCCAATTCCACCTTAACCCGTTCCCGAGTTCAACTTAACGAGAGAAAAGAAAGGAAATTGATGGAAATGAGAAGAAAATAAAAGAAATGGGTGTTCCCGAGTTTCATTAAAGGAAGGAAGTGGGGGGGAAATGGAATGATCACTTTCCCTCCTAACTTTCCTTTTGATTTGGGGAGATTTGGAAAGAAAGAACAAAATGATTAATTTTTCTTCCACTTATTTCCAACTCGGGAACACAAAAGAAAATTTTGTTTTCCTTTCCTTTCTCTTATTTTCTCTCCTAACTTTCTTTTCTTTTCTCTTCTTTTCTTTTCTTTTGTTAAACTTGGGAACTAGGCTTTGGGAGAAAACACTCATCTTCTCTAAAGGATAATAAACCAATGCCTCCGATCCACACGGGAAAAGTACATCCGATGATTTTTACTTTATCGAGAAAAATGGTCCTCTCACGTGGCTATGTGTAAATGACCTAGCCTATAATTGTTGCCAAGTATCAACTAAACGGGTTAACTTGTTTTCAGTTAGTTTTTAATGGAATGAGTTTTTTTTAACCGTCTGTTGCGTAAAAAATAAATAAATCATCTCTAATAAATAAATGTTTTTTTGCCACTTGTCATTTTTTCAAAGCTTTTGCCACATATCATTATATGAAATTTTACAATTATTTAAATTCCACATGTCATTATGTAGTATCTTTATTTTTTTTATTAATCAATAATCAATTTCACTAATTAATGAGTCTACTATTATATTTGTAAAGTATTCATCCTATTTAAATATTTCTTAATATACAAATATATTTGAATTCAAATGGATGCTCTAGTGACACAATTAATGTCGTGTATTTTATGATATATTTGAATTCAAAACGTACCTTTAATTTTTTAGACTTTTAATTTGAATTCTAACAAATTTGTTATTTATTCAAATTTTATAAATAAATAAAGACGTGTAATACAATTCTATCTCTACCCTAATAAATGAAAAAGAACACCATCTTCAAAAAAATATTTAAACTTTTTTTTATTCATAACAACTATTTACAATATGTCAATAATCTTTTTATATTAATATAGATTCAATAACTATTTATTCATCATTTTGTTTGTATTTATTTTGAAAGTTAATTTAAAAAATATTTAATGTTTAAACTTTAATTTTCAACATCATTATTTAAAATACATCAATAGTTTTTTATTAGTATAGATTGAATTACTTACTTATTCATTATATTATTCGTATTTATATAAAAGTATTTTTTTAATATTTAATATTTATACATTAATATTAAACTTTTATTTTTAATAAACCATATGTGTGAGAGATGATAACAAAACTTGATTGAATTTAACTAACTTCCTGAAAAGTGGAGAAAACAGTTGCCCTCGGCCTTCGCAGAATCCTAATCAGATACCACCAAATACTCCTCCTCTCCGTGCCGACTTGCCGCTACGCCACCGGCACCCTACAAGTATCTTTTCCAGTTTCCCTCTTCCACAACTTCTCGGTCTCTGCTACTCCACCTTTTCCGGATTTTTCTTCAAAAATCTTCATTGACGAGTACGCCACCGGTAAGTTTTATCTCCAAAATCCAATTCTTGAGCCAAAATTTCCTAATTTCAAATTGCATCTGATATTTCTCGGGTTTCTTTTTGTGCTAGACTGCTAGCATTTTGCTTTTACTTTTGTATTTATAATTTGAGGATTAAGGCTTTGTATAGTTTGGGGGTTTATAGATTTTGTAATCAACGGTCAATTCCTTTAATTCAGACCTCTGTTTTTTTATCTAATTAACCTTTACCTAAAAGCCCCTTTCTTTATTGTTCTTTCTATTGATTTTACAAATAACTGCAATCTTTAGGAACTCTTAACCCTGCAATCTTTGGTTGGATCTTGGAATTAGATAGAGGATAATGTGATATGAAACCAGACCTAAAGACGTTGTTCTAAGGCTAGTTACTAGTTAGTTACAACTATTTAAAATCCCACATTACATATTAAAGAATGCGTCCATTTACTGTCATTCAGACGTATCATTCATTCTAAAAAAAGGAACGTCTTTGTTCATACAACACTTAGGTGGTGTTTCTTTTTGACTTAATGACCTTTATATTAGAAAAACTTAAAAATTACCATGTTAAGTGTCATACTGTTCTTCCCCTTGTACATGCATTGTTATATAAATTGTTTAGTGCCTCTCATCTTCATCACAGATTTTGAAACTTATATTGTTTGAGTTTTTTAGGATGCAATTTGTTTTCGGAATATTTGTTATGAGAGTTTTGATGATGTGAATGTTGATTAGGTAGAAAGAAGAAGAAGATGAATTTAACCTAAAAAACAGCACTTAACTATCTTGTTTCAGGTAGAAAGAAGAAGAAGAAGAAGATATGGATGTTGACATTGACCACTACACTATTCTTGGATTACCATCCGGTGAAGAAGGATCCAAGCTCTCAGAAAAAGAAATAACAAAAGCATACCGATTAAAAGCTTTAGAATTACACCCTGACAAAAGACCCAATGACCCAAACGCCCCTTCCAATTTCCAAAAACTACAAACATCTTACGAAATCCTTAAAGATGAAAAAGCCCGAAAACTTTTCGATGATCTTCTTCGAGTAAAACAACAAAAAATTCAACTCCAATCACAACAAGACTCCAAACGTAGAAGAATAATGTCAGATCTTGAAGAAAGAGAGAAGAATGCTTCTAATCATCATGATTCAACTGCAAAAGCTAGAGATGAAGAAGAGAGTATTGTGAGAAAACTTAGAGAAGAAATTAATAGGATTCGTGAAATGCATGGGAAAAATAAAATGAGTTTTACTTAAACCGGAGAATCTTCTAGAAGGATAGAAAGGGTGATTGATACAGATATGGATAAGGAGAAGATGCTTAAGGTGTCGTGGGAGAAGGGTGGTTTGGAGTATAATGAGGAAAGATTGAGGGGGGTATTTGAAACATTTGGTGAGGTTGAAGATGTGGTTATTAGAAGTTCCAAGAAAAAGGGTTCGGCTCTTGTTGTCATGGCTTCCAAAGAAGCAGCTGTAAGTTTTTCTCAAAGAAAAACATTAATGGAAAAAAGGGTACTTAAGTCATGTTATATCAAGTGTCCTCATGAACATGAGTTTTAAGTGTGTGTGTGTATGTTTTGGACAGGTGGCAGCAAGTGGAAGTGTGTGTGGAGATGTTTCAAATCCTTTATTGGTTATACGACTTCAAGCAGCAGTAGCTAATTGTGAGCCTGTGAAGTCTTCTGATGGCCAACAACATGTAAATGAAGAAGAGGTTGTTGGTGAGGCATTTGAAGATTCTGTTTTGCAAAAACTTCAAAAGGTTTGACTAGTTGACTTTCAGTTAAATGTCTCTTTAATTCTGGTTGTTCCTTTTTGACAGAATAAGTTATTCCTTTTTTTTTTTGCAGGCTGCTGAGAGACAAAAATGAGTTTTTGCAGAATATCTAGAATTTAAATTCCAAAATTGCTACTAGAATATGTGTACATTGATTATGTTATAACAGAAAGATAGGTGACATAATATCTAGAATTTAAATTCCAACATAAAACATGAAAGGAGAACAAGAGCCAGAGAAAAGTAGGATGTTTCTATAGAAGAACTGTTGTTGATTTCAATAACTCATGTGATTTTGGGGAAGAATATGGGCAGTTACTTTTATTTATTTCTTTACAGATATATAAATGGGAAGTGGATTCTTGTGGATGACATTTGGGAAAGATTAGTGGCCATATAAGTGGGTAATATTTGTTTTTTTTTAATATAATCTATAATGTTTGAGATAATGGTGTGTAGTATGTTGGTTTTTTGTATTTGTTTAAAGTAAGGTTTTCACTTAATTTATTTGGAGGGATAAAAAGTAACGGAAAGTAAATTGGAAAATACTAATTTTATTGTTCTTTTTGTTTAAATGTATTTGAAATGCAATCTTGTTTAAATTCTGCATTTTGTTTAAAATGGATTTTAAATACAATCATGTATATGTTGTTTTTAGGGTACTGGTCACAAAAAATCAGATAATGGAAAGTATGTTGTTGTTAAGTGCAAATATAAATAAACTAACAAGCTTTTTTAGCATTCGGTCACTGAAAAATAGGTAAAGAAAAGCACGTGATTTGCCATTTCAATTTTCAACACATTGATATTATACCAGGAGTGTATAAAACTAGTGATTTACATTTACAAAGCATGTTTTGTGTATATAATTTATATGCATATATATATTATTTGACCATAAAAGAATAAAAATACTACTTGAAATCCATCTTTAATAATTAACATTTGTTTAATTGTGTTAGAACTAAGAAGAATAGATACAATATATAAATAAAACAAGGAAAAATGACTTATTATAATTAAGTTTCAAACTTGTTTAAAAAATATCACTTAAGTTTAGTCTGTACCCATATCACCATATGCCATATGATCCAAAAAAGCATTCCACTGTTTATGCAAAAACCTTAATAACAAACAAAAAAAAGAAATGCACACAACAATGAACAATCTTTTGTTGATTAATGGGCTAAATTTAAATGAGCTTTTTAGATTTTGGGCTAATTAAAATGGGTTTGCCTTATTCCGATGGTCAAACCCGAAACCGATTAGAGCACTAGGTGTGGGCAACTAGATGTAACACCATTTTGGTGCCACATCATCAATGGTGTTATAACACCAAGTGGGGAAATGGTCATCATCTTGTATTTTGTTATGACACCAACTTTGTTTTCCATTTTATAATTTATTTTTTATTTTTTTTCGAGTTTCTTTTTTTTTTAATTTAGACAAATATTTTTTAAATATAACATAATAAATAAAACATAATGTTTAAAAATTATAAATAACATATAATAATTTTTAAAGATTAAAATTAACAGAGATTAAATTACACATAACATCCAAATTCAAAAAAAAAAAAAACATCCAAATTCAAAAAAAAAAAATACAACGCTATTCGTTATCGTTATTGTTACCATAGAATATATAATCCGCCAAGTCCTCTCGAAGTTGTCTGTGTTTATTTGCGTCCTGAATGTCAACAACGCGATGCAAATAATCTGCTGTTCCTAGTTGAAACTGAACGTGTCTGGGCTCCGTTGGGATATAGTGTGCAATATTTCGCCCTTTATCTTCTACTACCATGTTATGCATTATGATACATGCATACATGATATATCGTAGAGTTTCTAAATCCAATGGTCGTGCTGCATGTTCGACTATATGCCACTTCGCCTTCAGCACTCCACAAGCACGTTCCACATCCTTACGTGCTCCTTCTTGTCTTCTCTTAAAAAATTTGTCTCGTTCTTCAACCGGGTGGCGGAATGCCTTCACGAATGTAGAATACTGAGGATATATTCCATCTGTAAGGTAATATCCATATTTGTATTCGTTTCCATTCACCGTGAAAGGAGCATCCGGGGCCTTTCCATTCAAAAAGATCTTCGAATATTGGCGACTGATCAAGAACGTTGACATCGTTGTTGGAACCCGCAACCCCAAAAAATGCATACTAAATCCATAAATCTTGAGAAGCAACAGCCTCTAAAACCAACGAAGGTAATCTGTGATGACCACTTGCGTATTGCCCTTTCCATGCTACCGGACAATTTTTCCATTTCCAGTGTGTGCAATCAATGCTTCCGATCATTCCGGGAAACCCATGGCGTTCTTCATGCGTCGCATACAATTCTTGCAAATCATGCAACGAAGGTTTCCGCAAATACACGTCTCCAAATGTTACAACAACACCCCTTGACAATGTATACAAACTCTCCCTTGCGGTTCTTTCGGACATTCTGATATAGTCGTCCATGGTGTCGGGTGACTCCCCCATAGCCATCAAGCGAATGGCCGCAACACATTTCTGCAAAGTTGTAAACCCTCGTCTACCTCTAGCATCATATCTCAATTGGAAAAATTTATACCTAAACATATATTAACTACAGTTTAAAAATATATTGTATATGTTGTAAAATTAAAGAAAGTTATTAACTACCCCGGCTTTCCAAGGCGTTGACGATCCGTAGGAATACATCCCTACTCAAACGAAATCTTCTTTTGAAGTCCTTCGACCCGTATACACAATTATCCGCAAAGTAATCACGATATAGATGTTCGTGTCCTTCCTCACGATTTCTGTTTAACATCGCATGTCTTGATAGTAGCGGGGCTGGGTCTGGTTGTAGCAGCTCGTTAGTATAATACTGATACATCATCCTGAAGAATATATCGTCATCGGAATCATCGGACGAGTCGAAATGATCCATAATTTTTTTTTGAAGATAATTGAGATTTATAGAGAGAAATATAGAAGTTATGTGTTTAAAAAATTGTTTAGATATAATAGGTATTTATATAGGAAAAAAATAATTAATTTTAAAGTTTTTTTTTATTAAAATAACCGTTTTCAAACGGTTTAAAATGGGTAACGTTCCATTTTTTCTCGTTTCATCGAGTCGAGATGGCAACGAGAATAGCCACAACGAGCAACAACGAGATGGGGGGTGTGCAGCTCGTCACGACGCCGTTTTCAGCCTCCACGTAGGCAATAACGAGAACGGGGGAACCCACACCGTATGCTCTTAAGCCTTAACGAACGCTCAACGCAAGCCCTTTAGCAACTATTGAAAAACAATTCAGGGACTATTTGTGTAATTCACTAAAAAACTTTTCTTTTGGTGCAAAAGGTGAGAAAAGAAAATAATTCAGGGACTATTTATGTAATTATACACCACCACATCCTCCTCCTCTCCGTTGCCGACTACGCCACCCCTACAAGAATTGAAAATTCCCAATTCTTGAGCCAAAATTTCCTAATTTTCCCCTCAACCCTAATTCCTTACAGTCACGACTTCTCCACGACTCCATCTCCGGAGAATCGGCGATCCCTAACCTCTACCAGCTCCGTTTTACGGCGGCGGACCATCTCCGTTCGTCAACATCAGACGATTATAACACTGTTTCAGTGTTTTGAGGTAATACTCTCTCCTTTCTTTGCACCCTTTTTCATACTTAGCACATAGCACATAGACTCGTTTAACACGTAAATTTATAACCGTTTAGGGTTTATAATTTAGTAAAGTCTGTAAAGATCTTTTAGTTTGCACATAAGCTCGTTATTCTAGTAGTTAAGTTTATCAGATTTTCGAGTTTAGTAATGGCTTAATAGTTAGTGCTGCACAGTGGATCAAAAACATGCCTCTATTATCATCATGATTCCTTGTTGAACTATGAACTATAGCAATTAGCAAGATCCTTGTTCTTACCTTTCATGAATTGGGTTCAATATCTTTTCTCCTCAAAAACCATAAATGGGACCCATAAATCCATAATCATATATCGTGTGTTCTTCTGACCAGATATGATGGAACCTTAAGTTCTTTCCTGTTTTTTTAGCTTCTTTCGATATGAATTCAAACAAAAAAACAGCACTTAACTATCTTGTTTGTTTCCAACAGGTAGAAAGAAGAAGAAGAAGAAGATATGGATGTTGACATTGACCATTACACCATTCTTGGATTACCATCTGGTGAAGAAGGATCGAAGCTCTCAGAAAAAGAAATAACAAAAGCATACCGATTAAAAGCTTTAGAATTACACCCTGACAAAAGACCAGATGACCCAAACGCCCCTTCCAATTTCCAAAAACTACAAACATCATACCAAATTCTTAAAGATGAAAAAGCCCGAAAACTTTTTGATGATCTTCTTCGAGTAAAACAACAAAAAATTCAACGCCAATCACAACACGACTCCAAACGTAGAAGAATGATGTCAGATCTTGAAGAAAGAGAGAAGAATGCTTTTTATCATCAAGATCCAACTTCAAAAGCTAGAAATGAAGAAGAAAGTATTGCAAGAAAACTTAGAGAAGAAATTAGTAGGATTCGTGCAATGCATGGAAACAATAAAACGGGTTTTACTGAAACCAGAGAATTTTCTAGAAAGAAAGAAAAAGAAGATGAAAGAAAAACTAGTGGGGTGGAGACAAATATGGATAAAGAGAAGATGCTTAAGGTGTCATGGGAGAAGGGTGGTTTGGAGTATAGTGCGGAAAGATTGAGGGGGTTATTTGAAACATTTGGTGAGGTTAAGGATGTGGTTATTAGAAGTTCCAAGAAAAAGGGTTCAGCTCTTGTTGTCATGGCTTCCAAAGAAGCAGCTGTAAGTTTTACTTTCTTTTTTCCATAATTAATTTTTTTGGGTTATCTACAACAAAGAGCATTGTACTTTGATTTACAAAAAAAAAAAAAAAGATTGAAGTACAATGCTGTACTTTAATATATTTTTTAAATTACTTTATAGAATTTTAACAGTGTGTGTGTGTGTGTTTTGACAGGTGGCAGCAACTGGAACTGTGTGTGGAGATCTTTCAAATCCTTTATTGGTTATACCTCTTCAACCTACTGTAGCTAATTCTTTTCCAACATTTCGTGAGCCTGTGAAGTCTTCAAATGGTCAACTTGTAAATGAAGACCTTGTTGGAGCTAGATATCAGGCGTTTGAAGATTCTGTTTTGCAAAAACTTCAAAAGGTTTGACTATTTGACTTTCACTTCAATTTCTTTAATTCTTGTTCTTCCTTTTTGAGTTGATGCAAAAAGAAACACTTAATATGTGGACAGAATAACTTATTCCTTTTTTTTTTTTTTGCAGGCTGCTGAGAGACAAAAATGAGTTTTTGTAGAATATCTAGAATTTAAATTCCAAAATTGCTACTTATGTACATTGGTTATGTTATAACAGAAAGATAGGTAACATGCATTAGTAAATTTGAGTTATTAGAAATCTTGTGCAAATTTGAGTCCAAAAATTAACTGAAGAGAGTATTATTATTGTCTATGGTGTGATATTTATTTGCTTTTCTTTAGTTACATGAGACATGACGTTTATTGATGAGGGAGAGAAGGGTATTTTTGACTTTTGCACAAACAAGAAACCTAGAGCAAGGGACTTTAGACACAACCTTTTCTTTTAACGATCATCATTACTTTATAGAAGAGCAATTGAAATAATTATGAAGTTGCATATTATTTTTATATTGGTTTCTTTCCTATAAATAATGATTCTTAAAATAATAATATATGTTAAAATAAGAGATTTAATATCAAAATCAGTGTAGCTACTAGAAATCTTATAATTCATATGATGTCTTAATATAACATAATATAACATAAGAGTAAGTGTGCCAAATAATACGAAATCAGATAATCTAAAATTGATTATGCCAAATTTTATTCAGTATGATTACTTGATAGTTGATACAGTTACTTTAAAAATGTTAAAAATCTGAACTAAAGAATCCAAAATTCGATTAAACACAAATAACATCCCTAATTAAAAAGCCAATAACCTTAAAAAGAGGACTTCATTTGTCTTTTACGAGTGAATTTCTAAAACGACCATACACCTTATGAGTAATTTACAAAATTGTTTTTAAATCAATAAGACACTTACACATTTTATATATATATATATATATATATATATATATATATATATATATATATATATATATATAAAAGCACATGGATAGTTTTAACATTAATTTTTTTTCAATTCATACTTGACGCTTTACTTTTATTTGTTTATATTTTTGCCTTAACCTTTTTCAATTCATACTTTTGCCACTTTTAACTTTTCCTAATTCATACTTTTGCCACTTTACTTTTATTTTCTTACACTTTTGCCTTAACATTTTCCAATTCATACTCTTGCCACTTTTAACTTTTCATAATTCATACTTTTGTCATTTTACTTTTATTTCCTTACACTTTTGCCTTAACCTTTTCCAATTTATATTTTTGCTACTTTAGTTTTATTTCAATACAAACATGTCTGAAAAAACCTTTCCAACCCATGCGAAGCATGAGTCCTTTTCCTAGTATATATTAAATCCCATGGGATGTTTGAACAGTAACTTTTTAACATTCACATTTTGACCCCATAGTTTTCTTTCCTTCACAGATTTGCCATAGGAGTTTAGGACTTTTGGTTTCTGCCACCACTTTTTAGGGGGTTTCACAGTTTTCATCCTTCAACTTTTACACTTGCAATCTCCATCCACAAAAGTATGTTCAATTGTCAATTTAGTCCCTGCCTTTTCCAATATTGTTATATTTCGATACTTTTTCGAACATTGTTCTATCTCGATATTTTTTTTGCACAATTTTTTGTGGTTATTACACATTTGGTCATTCCTTGGTCAATGGGTAGTCGACCCTATTATAAAGTCTTGGATTTTGTCGGTATTACATGTTTTTTTAAACTATCACTTCGAGTCATTTTTTTAGAAAACTCTAAATTATTTCCAACCCATGCGAAACATGGGCTCTTTCCTAGTTGATATTAAATAATATCATTTCTTTTTTGTCCTTTTCAAAAACTAATATAGTACCTTTGATGTAAATATGAATCTTTAAAAATGGAGAAACTAGACAAATTAAGAAATGTTTTTAGGCAATAATTAAGAAATTCCACAAATAATTATATATTTATGAAAACACACACACATAAAATTATAAACTCTTAGGGCCAAAACTCCTTTTTCATTTATTTATAATCTACACCTAACCTAATAAATAATCTAAAGCTTAAACTGACATTATGATAATCTAGAAAATCTAACTGTGTTAGAAAAATATACGAAAACACGAGTAACAATCAAAAGTTTCTCCGATCAACATTACCAAATTATAAACACATACACATTGTAATTTGTAAAACCATATTGGAACCATTGAGGTGATCATTTTATTATAAATAAATAAAAAAAGGCTACCAAACCTAATAAAGACAAATTTGTAAAAAGTAAGGACTAAATCAAGTCAAAATAAAAACACTGAGATTAATAGAAATAGAATCATGCAGGTTTCCTTAGAATCGTTACAAGCAAATACCAAAGACCAGAATCGACAGATGATAAGCCAACAATAAGCATCGCCACAAGAACAAGAGTCAACATAGCTGTCTTCAACTGCATACACAAAATATTTGTATTATGAATTATTATTAGTATTATAAATGTGAGAAAATAAGGTTTCATATTTAAATGTTAAAAATAATTAAAAACACTGACCGTATTTTGGAAACCTGGCCACTCTATGTACTTTAGCTGGCTAGGTTGTTCAGCCAGAAAGGCAAACAAAGATTTTATTCCCCTGAAATTTAACATCAATGAAAGCAATTGCTATTTCTTGCATTTAATATTCATAAGAGAAAGTAAAAAACTATAAAAAATAAATACATAAATAAATAATTGAAAAAAAAAAAAAAAAAAAACAAGTGTTTACCTAATAAAGCCCTTTGTTGGTGATAACCAAAAGGGTTCATGATGTAAATTAAGCCCATTGTTGTTTCCTCTTGCTACTGAAATAGCATATTTGGCACCATAATCTTCTCCAACTAAAAACTTATGTCTTGTTATACAGATCTTCATTAGACAATAAGAAAAAAAAAAAAAAGGTTAAAAGATATAGATATTAAACATTGCTACTTTCAGTTGTTCTTATTACCTTATTTTATAGCAATGTCATTTGAATACAAAGCATTGGGTTGATATTTCAATGTATAATTGTTTTGGTAATAAAAAAATTGAAAATATAATGCGACAATTAGGTAGATTATTCAAAGTGTAATGACTTAATCAAAAGTAAGATGAAATTATAATGTTATACAAGAAAGAAATGGAAGCAAGATGCTATATTACACAAATCAAAGATACAATGCTATTTCTTGCATTTAGCACAAAAAATATGTACATATTTACCTTTTTAAAAACAGGGTGGCTTTTTCGGTTATTTGTTGATGTGTTTGTGGTTAACTTCTGAATTGGAGATAGTGATTTGGGATAATTTATACCTGTGACAGAGTAAAAGATCATTAATTCTTTTTTTTTTTAAAAAAAAAAAGAGAGATAGCTTTTATGTGAAAATGGGTCAACTTGAGTTATAATTAATAAAGTTATAAAGAAAGATATATTTTCTAGTTATTTAAAAAAAACAAGAATCTAATATAACTAAAATCATAGAACTTCTTTGAAAAAGATTCAGAGTCTTTAAAATTGCATTAACAAAAACAGATTATATTGTAACTTTTCATTCCATCATACCAAACACTACCTTACTTTGTTTATATTTTCTATGTTCCAATAACAGTGATAGAAAGATAAGAGAGAAAAAAAAAAAAACCTGTAAAGATTGCCACTGGATCAGAAATTAAAGCCATTCAATTGTTGAAGTAGCTGAATAAAAAGTTGTAAATTACTAGTATTAGTAAAGTCACCATAATTGTAAATACTTTCTTGTTTGCAATTAGATATCAGAAAAATCATACTCACAATCCACAAACAATCTCATAATTGGGTTTTAAGCAATTATTCACTACAAACCCAGAATGACCAATCTTCAATATAAGCTCAGAATTGTCGGAGTATTCAGTAGACAGTATAATGAGTAGAATTATCAGTAGACAAAGAAAAAAGAGCAAAGTAAAGTCGGAAAAATAGAATCATAAAGCATGTAAAAAAGAGCAAAGCGAAGTACTTCTGAAAGATTGAAAATCTCGCAACCTATTCCTGATTTGATAAAACTAGTTCGCTAACCCCTAACCCTATTCAACGACTCTGGTAAGAGTGGATAGAGTGCAATTAGGTCAAATCAATTAACCTGTTAATTGCATACAAGGGGACACCATATTATGCTAGAAACGAAATAAACGACTATTTTGGATAAAAGAAACTGCAGAACCATATCCATAGAACTTGACGGAATAGTGATAATGCGATATCGCATTTGCAAAATTTCAGATTCCTATAGAAAGTAGAAACTTCAATTTTTATAAAGAACAGTCAGAAACTGAATGTAGAAACCCTAATTTGTGATTAAACAATTAAATACATGAATAAACCAAACGTAATAATAGTGAAGTTGAACACAAACCTGGAAATTGCAGTGAACAAATGATGTTCGAGGGAAAAGATGGTGATTGATGATGAGGATGATGCAAAGCTATTCTCCATTAAGCCCATTGAACATTTAGGACCACAACTAAAGTATAGCCCAAAGGCTTAAAGTGATAGCCCAATTTGTAAAAAAAGATAAAAGTTTTATTTATTTTTTATTTTTTATTTTTTTATTTTTTTTAATGAGTCGGCACACTTAAGAAAATGTATATTTCTTTAATCGGGTCAAATTTAAATATAATATCTTTTATATTTACCATGTCTAGTGCTTGTATTGCACATATACACCGATAAACCTTTTAATTGTCCAAGAGGTTAAGTATAACAAAACTCAACCTCTCCAATAATTTAAAATAGAAAAATTAAATTTGGTTATACCAATTCTACTAACCACTGAATCCCAAATGCAAACCTCTATGTCACACGACCACCTGTACTTCACGTGTGTCACGATTACTTTTAATTATTATATTCAATTGTCATTTTTTTTTAATTATGACCTAAAGATTTTAAATTAATTATTATATGATTTGGTGGACTTAGTTATCTAAATACAAATCACTAGATAGTAGCAGCGCGTGATGTTGCAAAATTTTTATATTTACACAATACGATTATATTTGGTTATGTATAATGTATAATAATGTATTTCTAGTTTGTTTTGGTCATATTGATAAATAACAAACCCAAATTATATCTATGTTGCCACACCCTTCTACACTATCTCGATGATCAGTGTCACTCCATATTTATTTATTACTAAAAACACTATATATTTCCTTAATACCCTTTTGCTTCTCATGTGTTGTATATAACGTGCAACCGTGCAACTCTTCAGGTAAAACATGTTAAAGCATGCATCATATGAGATTTTTATACATACAGTACCACAATATTTTCTAACTGAGTATTCCCATTTACTAAATTTTTCGAGGATTTTATAAATTGAATCGTTTATAGTTATACATTTTGAACTATAAAAACTATTTTGTATTTTAAGTGACTTGAATCATGAGAATTCCGTTAACCTTGATGAAATACATTAGAAATTAGAAAATGTTGTTAGATTTCATACGTTGAGTATATTTTGGATGAATTAGATAGATTAGTAAAAAGAATATTACTTATCACAAAATGAACGGATACATAATGAAACTTTCTGTTTTTCATTTTAATAAAAGGAAAATTAATTATCAATAAAGAATCTATTTTGGAATTATCTTATCTGTTTTTGGTATTGGTAGTGATTGTAATGAGACATTCAATCCGATCGTCTAACATCAAAACCCAAAACCAACAATGCAAAACATGCAAAAAATATGAAGAAGCAAAAGAAAACAATAACAAAGAAATATTCAAGGAATTGTATTATTGAATTCAAGGCGTAGAAAAGGCTTATAATATCATTATCATTATATACTTATAAATGAAACATTTTTTTTTCTTTCACCACATTTATTTGAAACTCTCATGCATTTTTCTTTTTACCATATTCATTTGAAACTCTCATGACTTTTCAATTTTTTTTCTAATAATAATTATAATTTGGTTAATTAGGTTAAATAAATATCAAACCTAAAGTGTAATCATATATAAACTAAATTTTAATATTAAAATAATATATTACTTCTACTTGTAAAGTTATGTTTTCTAACTTTTAACATATTATACTTAATTTATTAATTTTAATATATTGTTGGATGTAAACCATTATCATTTTAAAGATACAATTTTGGAACAATTTGTATAAAATACTTAAATTATTAATTTAAATATAACATTACATGGTCAACTTAAATATAAATTTTAGTTTAACTAAAACAACCCAAAGAATATTTTATAAATAGTTAAAAATGATAAATTGTAGTGTCTTTATAATAATGATTATAAGTTGGTTAATAAGGTTAAATAAATATCAAATCTAAAGTGTAATCATAAATAAACTAAATTTCAATTTTAAAATAATATTTTTACTTCTACTTATAAAGTTATGTCTTTAACTTTTAACATATTATACTTAATTTATTAGATTTAATATGTTGTTATATGTAAACCATTATCAGTTTAAAGCTACAACTTTTGAGCAGTTTGGACAAAATATTTAAATTGTTAACTTAAATATACCGTTACAATGTCAATTTAAATATAAATTTTTGTTCCACTTAAAAAACCAAAGAATATTTTGTAAATAATTAAAAGTGATAAATGCAAAAACTAAATTGTAATCTCAATTAAACTAAAATATTTCTTAAAGATATTTTTATAATCGTTAAAAGTTTTCAAATAAATAGCTTAAAATAACTTACAATAACAATAGTTAAAAATAAATCTATATAAATGATTATATTGTTACCTTTAAAATAAAAAAAATGTTTGATGTTTTAAATAATTATAATGATAGAAATTAAAACATTAAGCAAATAAATTTTAAAAAATTAATTAACAATAACAACAACTATAAATAAGATTAAACCATATATTATATTTAGCTTTATTCATGTGTAACTCGCGGATAGAAATTATTCAAATGATTGAGATTATGAAGTTATAATATATGTATATATATTATCATATAATTCAAAATAATCCATATATTATATCAAGTTAGTATACGAATTATTATATCAAATTTAACAACAATATTATTGTTATATTAAAAAAACATATATTTGTAAAGACTTCAACTATATAGGTGTTTCTGCACATTACAATGTCAACTTAAATATAAATTTCAGTTCCACTTAAAAAACCAAAAAAATTATTTTGTAAATAGTTAAAAGTGATAAATTGTAGTGATAAATGCAAAAACTAAATTGTAATCTCAATTTAACTAACATATTTCCTAAAAATATTTTTATAATCGTTAAAAGTTTCCAAATAAGTAGCTTAAAATAACTTACAATAATAATAGTTAAAAATAACTCTATATAAATGATTATATTGTTACATTTAAAAATAAAAAAATTAATGTTTGATATTTTAAATACTTATAATGATAGAAATTAAAACATTAAACAAATAAATTTTAAAAAATTAATTAACAATAACAAGAACTGTAAATAACATTAAACCATATATTATATTTAATTTTATTCATGTGTAACTCGCGGGTAGAAGTCATTCAAACGATTGAGACTATAAAGTTATAATAAATGTATATATTATCATATAATTCAAAATAATCAATATATTATATCAATTTAGTATACACATTATTATATCAAATTTAACAACAACGTTATTGTTATATTTAAAGAAAAACATATATTTATAAAGACTTCAACTATATGGATGTTTCTGCGCAACGCGCGGGCATTCGCCTAGTCTTTTTATAAAGAGGAAACTAAATTTGGTAGGTATTGCAAATTTATAAAAATTAAATTGATAGAAAATTCATCTAATTAAGCTCGTTGACAAAGATAGAAAAAACAGAAATTTAGGACATGTGCTGTTAAAAAAAAAAAAGGAGAACATGTATTCTATCATTAAAATTGAAATAAATTAAATAATGAATTGCATGAAAATTAAAATTGAACGCCTAAACGGAGTTTTCCTGACAATGGGTGGGCAAATGGCCTTTGGCGTTTTGTCAAGAGTTTCGAGCCGAATAAAAATAGTCAGCGATATAAAGTGGGCCTTCAAGCTTCTAACATATTAAAAGTGACTTTGTTTTAAGTTGAACATTTTCTGAACTCGTTTAACCTTCTCTCTTATCTTCATATTTCGGTCAGATCTTCAATATGCTCAGGCCAAAGGGTATGGAGCGGGAAAGGAACTACGGGAAAGAAACCGTGGCCAGAAACACAATACCGTGACCAGGGTTTAGGGTGTGCGGTTTAGAAGTGAGGGGAGGCTACCCTGCCTACTCTCTCTTCATCCCATTGGTTCGTTTTTTTTCAATTTCTTTAATATTTATTAAATTATATATATATTATATATATATATATATAATATATATATATATATATATATGCTAGGTGTAAGACCTATGTATTACGTAGATTAATTAAAAAAAATTAAATATAAATGTCTAAATATTTTAGAACTTCTGAGGGATCGACCGAATTGGTACGGAAGTTGTAACATGGGAAAACCACGGAAAACACGACTTTATAAGAAAATAAGAAAAATAATAAATTATTAAAATTGATTTTTCTTTTAAATTTAAATAAATAAACAAAATAAACTAATGAGCTTTAATTTGAGAATTTTGAAATAAAATGATAAGTCCATTAATAAAATTGATACTCCTTCATTACTACATTTATTGTAATTATTACATTAAAATATTATGTGGAATTTATTAAAATAAAAAAACTCATAAAATGACATGTGGAAAAAAATTAATTCAAAATAACCACAAAATGACATTTGGTAAATTGAATAAGATAGTAACATGTGGTAAAAAAACATTTATTTATTAGCGTAGATATATATAGATATATATATATATATATATATATATATATATATATATATATATATATATATATATATATATATACACACTAAAAATTTATAAAAAATATATATATCAAAATTCATAGTTTTTAAAAATCCTTACAAAATGAGTATAATATTGTATAAAACATATTTAAAAAAAAAAATGAAAGGTAGTGAAAGATGACAAATTTTTACATTTTGGTGAGTGAAAAGTGAATGAGTGGAAAACTGACGTGACACTCAAAAAGTGAAAATGTAAAAACTGGGTATCATGGCATTAGCGTCACTGAGAAGGGATAATGACTTAAAAGGGTAATATATTGTTCGATTTGTACACATTTGGTCACTGAGTTTTTTTTTTCGTCCACATTTACCCCTTCAACTTGTTAAACTGTACACATTCAATCCTTATGACCGGTTATGCCAAGTTAGTCGGGAAAAATGACTTAATAGGGTAATATATTTCTCATTTTGTACACATTTAGTCCTTAATATTTTTGTACACATTTAGTCCTTAATATTTTTTTGTTTCAAAATAAGTCATTTTTGTTTTTGTACACAATCAGTACTTATGAATGATTTCTTTAGGTTTTTCTCACGACATTTTATGTGAGACAATCATTCATGAAGTGTGTGGGGTTGTTGATGTTTAT